CATGATAGGAGTCGCTAGGATTCGTTATATCAGCTGATCCTTATTTTAGACGGACATGTGAGTCGACCTGGACCACCCTACGACACTCCCCACACACCCACACATCCCCCTGCAAAGTTTGGTGAGACGAGCGCCATGCGCCTGGACCAAACCTCGAACATTCTCGCTTATAGAAGATAATGTTTATCTGTGTGTATCCAGGGCTGAAGGCCAAATGCTTAGGGCTAGCCTCTCCCGACTTTACAGGGTGAATGGTCTGGGGGTATTTGTATATTTAATTATAAATACATTCAGACAAAAGTGGGAAATGGGGGAGATGGGAAAAAAGAGAGGCGGAGAGAGGGGTAAAAAGAGCGAAGGGTGAAGGAAAATTAAGGGAGGGGATATTGGTAGAAAAGATGGGGGGGGGGGGGGAGAAACATCCTGGGTATCCTAGGGATACCTACCCCCCCCTTCCCCCCTAGCATGAACATCTTTCAAGAATGTTTAGTAAAAACTCTTTTGGGGAACATCCAGTGGCAGAAAACTATCGTGAATTAGTGTGTGTGAACTACTGAGTTCATATACAAAATCGAGATGTAAAGTCTTTAAACAAAATTCTTGGATTTTCACTTTAGATTTTTTCCCTGGAAGTCGTGGGGCCAGTGAGGGAGGAACTCTGCGAGGCGTCTCACAGAACACTTCCAGCACAGTACCAGAGTATGTAGAGTTCCAGTATGTAGAGTTCCAGTATGTAGAGTTCCAGTATGTAGAGTTCCAGTATGTAGAGTTCCAGTATGCAGAGTTCCAGTATGTAGAGTTCCAGTATGTAGAGTTCCAGTATGTAGAGTTCCAGTATGTAGAGTTCCAGTATGTAGAGTTCCAGTATGTAGAGTTCCAGTATGTAGAGTTCCAGTATGCAGAGTTCCAGTATGCAGAGGTCCAGTATGCAGAGGTCCAGTACGCAGAGGTCCAGTACGCAGAGGTCCAGTACGCAGAGTTCCTGTATGGAGAGTTCCCAGAATGCTGGCTGACTACCGCTGGAAACTCATCAGAGGTGTTCCCCGAGTACTATACACCAGGAAGCCATCAAAAATCACCCTATAGCAAAGTTTGGTTATACTATGTAAATATACGATTTAATCAAAACCCGTATATCACTAAAAACTTTACTTGAAACAAAAACCAAATTATATACTTGAATTCAACATGATTATAATTACTCTATTTGGTCAAAACAAAATAGAGTAATTTTTGGTCAGTGACAAAAATAAAGATTTGAAAACCAGTGTAATAATGATATCAGTAATAATAATAATGATATGATGATAATGATAATGAGGGCATCGTGGTAGAGGCAGATGATGGTAGAGTGATGGGGCGGCTGGCCGCAGGGCGCCGGGTGATGGGTCGCTCTGATTGGCCGCCTCACTTACCCACAGCTCTCAATGTGTCTGGTTTATGACAGGTGATTATCTGAGTGTGTGTCCGCACGCTATGGCAATCACTAGGCCAATCACAGCGTGATTTGGGGTGTTACAATCTCAGTGCGCGCGCGCGCTCACACGTACACACAAGTATGTACACACATACACATGTTCGTGCGTACACACACACACACACACTTATACACTCTATTCCAGCGGCATTAAAGTGAACTGAGACTGGATAGAAGAGTCTGACAAAGTAACGTACTCAAACATAGAAGGGATTACAAAGCAAGTGAATTTAGGCAAAGAGCACAAGAAGAAAATGCAAACATAATAGCACTCACAGAAACAAAACTGTTAGGTAACATAACACATGCGATGTTTCCCTAGGACTTCACTGTAATAAAGATGGAATGAAGGGGAGGAGGAACAGTGGCCCGACTGATAAGTAGTGGAGTTTCGAGATGATTATTCCAAGTTGCGAGAGGTTCAGAGACTATATAACAAGAACCGCGATGATGGAAGGCCCAACAGTAGTTGTAGCAGTGATATATATAACCCAAGACTGAATGACAGAACACCCAGGCAACAGTTGGACAGAAACAACATGGCAGTTAATACTGCCATGTTGAGAGGGTGGATTGAGAGGACAACCTCTGTCGCCTGTAGAAATCGATCCCATCTACTTATCGTGGGAGACTTCAAATACAGAGACAGAACGGGAGAACAGAGAACCGCTTGGAGGTGCTGAAACATGGAGAGCTAACCTACTGGATGTGGCCACAAGAAACTTTTTAAGCCAGCATGTCAGGTGATCTACAAGATTGAGAGGCAACGACAAACCAGCTAGACTTGACCTGGTATTCACTTTGATTTCCCTTATATTGGAATCATTCAATTTCGAAGCCCCTGTAGAAATGAGCGATCACAGTTTTCTGATGCATGAGTATGTGGTAAATATGGAGTTAATTTACTCAAGGGACCAAAAAAACAAATGGCTGGCATTAAAAAAGTGAAACTACGAGACAAAAAAATCCCTAAGAAATATTCCTTGGGAAACACAGCTCAGAGGATAGACTGCCCAAAACATTTATTTATTTATTTATTTATTTATATGTATATACAAGAAGGTACAATGGATTTATAAGAGTACATAGCATTGATGTTTTTACATTCTTGTCAAGCCACTAACACGAATAGTGTTTCGGGCAGAAACGCAGACATGATGAACTACATCACGCAGAAGTGTAAGGAGGCAGCAGACAAGTCTGGCCAAGAATAAGTACCTTAGGGTGAGAAGCTAGAGAGAAGTGAGGTTGGGGAGTGAAGACGGGGGGGGGGGTGATGATTGGGGGTGTAAAGTCAGGGGGGTGCTAGTTGGGGAGTACTCACCTAGTTGTACACACCAAATTGTGCTTGCGGGGGGGGGGGGGGTTGAGCGCTGGCTCTTTGGTCCTGCCTCTCAACTGTTAATCAACTGGTGTACAGATTCCTGAGTCTACTGGGCTCTATCATATCTACATTTAAAACTGTGTATGGAGTCAGCCTCCACCACATTACTGCCTAATGCATTCCACCTGTTAACTACTCTGACACTGAAAATGTTCTTTCTAATGTCTCTGTGGCTTATTTGGGTACTCAGTCTCCACCTGTGTCCCCTTGTTCGCGTACCTCCCGTGTTAATCAGTTTATTTACACTGTCAATTCCTCTTGAGAATTTTGTAGGTGGTGATCATTTCTCCCCTTACTTATATCTTTCAGTATCATGAGGTGCATTTCACGCAGCCTGTCCTCTTAACTCATGCCTCTTAGTTCTGGGACTAGGCTTGTAGCATAACTCTGAATTTTTTCCAGCTTCGTCATGTGCTTGACAAGGTACGGGCTCCATGCTGGGGCCGCATACTCCAGGATTGGTCTTACATATGTGGTATACAAGGTCCTGAATGACTCCTTACACAGGTTCCTGAAGGCAGTTCTGATGTTAACCAGCCTCGCATACGCCGCAGATGTTATTCTTTGATGTGGTTTCAGGAGACAAGTTTGGCGTGATATAAACTCCGAGATCTGTGTATGTCCGTTTCATGAAGGACTTCATCTCCCATTCTGTATCCTGTGTCTGGCCTCCTGTTTCCACTGCCTAGTTTCATTACCTTACATTTACTCGGGTTGACCATTAGTAGCCATTTGTTGAACCATTCAGTCTGTCTAGGTCATCTTGTAGTCTCATACTGTCTTCCTCCGTCTTAATCCTCCTCATAATTTTTGCATCATCAGCAAACAATGAGAGGAACAATTCTATACCCTCTGGTAGATCATTTCCATATATCAGAAACAGTATAGGTCCAAGGAATGAACCCTGCGGGACTCCACTGGTGACGTCTCGCCAATCTGAGGCCTCACCCTTCACAATGACTCGCTGTCTTCTGAAGCTTAGGTACTCCTTTGTCCAATGGAGTACCTTCCCTTTCACTCCTGCCTGCATCTCCAGCTTTTTCACTAGCCTCTTGTGTGGTACTGTATCAAAGGCTTTCTGGCAATCCAAAAATATGCAGTCTGCCCACCCCTCTCTCTCTTGCCTTATTCTTGTTGCCTGGTCGTAGAATTCAATTAACCCTGTGAGGCAGGACCTGCCATCCCTGAACCCATGTTGGTGTTGTGTCCCAAAGTTCCTTCCCTCCAGATGCTCCACTAGCTTTTTTCACACAAACTTCTCCTTTAATTTGCATGATATGCAAGTTAGGGATACTGGCCTGCAGTTCAGTGCCACCTGTCTATCCCCTTCTTGTATATTGAGACTACGTTTGCCGTCTTCCAAATTTTTGGCATTGCTTCTGCTCCATCCTTTTGTATCCATGGCGATATTCAATCTGGGCTTATAGCCTTTGTCACATCTAACTCTAGCAAAAGTTTCCTTACATCCCCACTAGTAATCTCAAACTCCTCTAATGGTGCCTGGTTAACTATTCCCTCTCTTATCTCTGGAATGTCTCCATGCTCTAATGTGAAGACCTCCTAGAATTTCTTATTCAGTTCCTCACACACTTCCTTGTCGTTTGTAGTGAATCTGTCTGCCCTTATCCGCAGTTTCACTGCCTGTTCCTTCACTGTTGTTTTTCTCCTGATGTGGCTGTGCAGCACTTTAGGTCGAGTCTTTGCCTTGCTTGCGATGTCGTTGAGAGGGGGGGGGGGTTATATTTTTTTTAGGGAGGGAGGGGGTGATATCAGGGTGAGATCAGTGAAGTAAGGATGAGGGGGTGAGATCAGGGAAGCCAGGGCAGGAACAAACAGAAGTTGAAAGAAGTCTTAAAAAAGTGCTTAATATCCAAGAATTAACGAAGATCAAGATAAAAAATTAACTGACAAAGAGAAGGATGATGCAAATATTACAATAACAACCGCATAGAACGCAAGAAAAAGGAGTTAGCGGGGATCGAACCCCTGGAACTGAGTAATGATTGGCAGGGGACAACAGGTGAGGCCTCCTTAACCTGCCTCACACTCTCATTTATCACTGTTCTCTGTCTTGATGATTTTATCTCCTTTGCTGGGCTTTGTTATGAAAATCAAAGTAATTATGTAAATGCTCATTTATTATGATCTGACTTTGTATACGCCTATATTATCTCCTGAACCTTTGTACACGCATATATTATCTCCTGTACCTTTGTTCATGCTTTTATTACCTTCTGAACCTTTGTACATGCTTATATTACCTTCTGAACCTTTATACATGCCTATATTACCTCCTGAACCTTTGTACACGCATATATTACTTGCTGAACCTTTGTACACGCATATATTACCTCCTGAACCTTTGTACACGCATATATTACTTCTTGAACCTTTGTACATGCGTATATTACCTCCTGAACCTTTGTACACGCATATATTACCTCCTGAACCTTTGTACATGCCTATATTACCTCCACACAAAGAGCCTTTGTACACGCATATATTACTTGCTGAACCTTTGTACACGCATATATTACCTCCTGAACCTTTGTACACGCATATATTACTTCTTGAACCTTTGTACATGCGTATATTACCTCCTGAACCTTTGTACACGCATATATTACTTCTTGAACCTTTGTACATGCGTATATTACCTCCTGAACCTTTGTACACGCATATATTACTTCCTGAACCTTTGTACATGCGTATATTACCTCCTGAACCTTTGTACTCGCATATATTACCTCCTGAACCTTTGTACACGCATATATTACTTCTTGAACCTTTGTACACGCATATATTACTTCTTGAACCTTTGTACATGCGTATATGTATCTCCCAAACATTTGTATACGCTAAATACAACTCGAGAACCTTACTATATATATATATATATATATATATATATATATATATATATATATATATATATATATATTTCCTTAACTTGTGTATATATCTTGTATTCCTCAAGAACCTCTGTATACACCACCCGAACCATTTATTAATAATGAATAAATATACATTTATTCATCTAAATCACTGTATGATTTAATACACCTCTCGAACCACCTGTTTCACCCAAACAAGGCTCGCGTTGTAGACACTAACTAATACACTTATAATATAGTACCTATATGTACTATACTAGGCCTAGGAATATTTAAGTTTGTTTTTTTAGCTTTATTTTTGGGACTCGTATAAAAGTGAAAAGTACCAAATTCTACTAATTGTCTATTACGTCTATATATGTACGATGGTGTACATAGGGTGCCTGACAGCTGGGTGGACAGCGCTTCGGATTTGTAGTCCTGAGGTTCTCGGTTCGATCCCCGGTGAAGGCGGAGACAAATGGGCAAAATGTTTCTTTCACCTTGATGCCCCTGTTACCTAGCAGTAAATAGGTACCTGGGAGTTAAACAGCTGCTACGGGCTGCTTCCTGGGGATGTGTAACAGAAAGGAGGCCTGGTCGAGGACCGGGCCGCGGGGACGCTAAGCCCCGAAATCATCTCAAGATAACCCCAAGATAGGTACAAAAAGTACTATCAAAACAGGAGGAGGAGGAGGAAGGGTTAACACAGGTGTACAATAGGTGGAGGTTAGTAATCAGTGGCACTGCAAGGTCTAGCTAGGTGCTACTAAGTTAAACAGGTTAAGCTTAAGGTACGCGAAACTTATCAACACTGGTACACTATAGATGTTGTTTAGTTATAGTCCGGAGCTTAGTTAACATACAACATAGTGACAATGTTACACTAGTCTGCAGTTAAATTTCGTCTAAAGTAACGTGGTTAAGTTGAAATCAGTGTGAACTTTATCCAAACTATAAAGTCCCTAAGCGTTGTCAACATCAAAGTGTTCCATAAAGTCCACACCGTTTAAGGGGCCGGATTACAGTAAATTAAAAGTTGTTCAATTTCAACCAAACTTTTTTTTACTAGTTGTATATAAGAATGGCTGCGACTGTTCTACGTTTCAATATCGCATCCCAAATAGGGATATTTTTTCAACGAATTTTACACATTTTCAATATCCTACTGCTACCATAATATTCAAATGACATCATTTCTATGTCACTCATATATCATATTAGCGTATACTAAAGGATTTTTATAAAACGAATTATCTAAAATATGTTTAGTTTTACTAATACAAGTAGCCAAAGTTACCCCCAAAATACATGCCAATATTTCATGTTTGCAAATATTTATAAAATCAATAAATGAACTTATGAATAAAGTGTTTTAGACATGTTGTAGAGATGTCATCTCTACATATAAGCTGTAAATTTTATGTAAATTAAAAAAAAAATGAAATAGGAGATGCAATTTTATGTTACATGAAAATAAATAAGGTCAAACACTCTGCCACCTTTGGTTGAAGTTGACTTCAACTAATTTCCTCCAATATTTGTATCTTTACACATAGGCCTACGTTCTGTAAGGTGTACAAGTTTCATGCATTTTTGCTGATAAAAAGCATGACAAAAAATTTGAGATTATTTTTTTTTTTTTTTGTATAAAAATAAATAATAAAATACTTTATTGTATGGTATTGTGATAGCTTAGAGTCATCAGAGAAAAGGTGAAACGCCATGCAACCTCTGAAGAGTCAACTACCGCAGCACCTGTACCTCCTATTACACTATTTTACAGGAACTTCTTTTCAGCGGTTCACAGAACGGAGGAAAGTGTTCTGAAAGATATTATTAATAGGAACGTTATCCCTATAGACACAAATCAGAAAATACAATTAACAATTTACTACAAAAGCAAGAAAACGGCCAACCTACTCATGAAGAACTCTCCAGACACCAAACACAACGCCCTGAAGGACACCAACGTCATCTATGCCTTCACATGCCCACTTGGGGACTGTCTGCCCCAAAGATCTCAGTATATAGGCAAGACGACAACGTCTCTTTCTAGACGATAAACAATGCATAAACAACAGGGCTCCATCAAGGAGCATATAATCTCCTCACACAACCAGACCATCACCAGAGAATTCTTAACAAGCAACACAGAAATTATCGACAGATACAACGATTACAGGAAGCTCGACATCAGCGAGGCACTACACAGCAAAAAGTCAAAACCAGCAATCAACAGCCAATTAACACATAATTACATTCTACCCACTTCAAGACCCCGAACCATCATAGGAGCACCAAGAGAAAGTATGGGTCAATAGGCCTTCTGCAGTTACTTTCATTCATTTTCATTCATACCCAATTAATACCTACCTCACATAAAACATTTGTGTCATATCACCTCACCTAAAACGAATGTAAGTATGATGAATGTTAGGTGTAAACAAGTCTTTCAGAATGTAAGAAGCCCTTGTGAAACGCTTTCAGGCGTCAACCCATAAATAAAAAAAAATGAGAAAATGAACTTTGGAGAGGTAATTTTTCTATTACCTTCGACAGTGAAGCAAAAACGTAAGAAATATTGAGAAGATTCGTGTTAGAATTATTAATCTTACCATTTGAGTCATATTCAACAACATACATTTACAAGAAAGACTGCTACCAAAATAAATTATATATATATAATATTATTATTATAATATTATATATATATATATATATATATATATATATATATATATATATATATATATATATATATATATATATATATATATATTCAGATTTCAATAGGATACGTCTGACCTCTACTTTCTACCAAGTTTCTACAACACACGCACGCGCGCGCACACACACACACACACACACACACACACACACACACACACACACACACACACACACACACACACACACACACACACACACACACACACACACACACACACAGTGTCCCTAACCTGCATACCATGCAAGCTGATGGAGAAGATTGTGCGAGGAAAGCTAGTGGAACATCTGGAGCGAAAGAACTTTGTAACACAGCACCAACATGGGTTCAGGGATGGCAGGTCCTGCCTCACAGGGTTACTTGAATTCTACGACCAGGCAACAAAAATCAGGCAAGAAAGAGAAGGGTGGGCAGACTGCATATTTTTGGACTGCCAGAAAGCCTTTGATACAGTACCACACAAGAGGCTAGTGAAAAAGCTGGAGATGCAGGCTGGAGTGAAAGGGAAGGTACTCCATTGGATTAGGGAGTACCTAAGCAACAGGAGACAACGAGTCACTGTGAGGGGTAAGGTCTCAGACTGGCGAGACTGCAGGGGTCAATCCTTGGACCAATACTATTTCTGATATATGTAAATGATCTCCCAGAGGGTATAGACTCGTTCCTCTCAATGTTTGCTGACGATGCAAAAATTAGGAGGAAGATTGAAACAGAGGATGATAGTAGGAAGCTACAAGATGACAGACTGAATGAATGGTCCACCAAATGGCCGTTAAAGTTCAACCCGAGTAAATGCAAAGTATTGAAACTAGGCGGTTGAAACAGGCGGCCAGATACAGGATACAGAATAGGAGATGAACTACTTCATGAAACGGACAGAGAGAAAGATCTAAGAGTTGATATCACACCAAACCTGTCTCCTGAAGCCCACATAAAAAGAATTACGTCCGCGGCATATGAGAGGCTGGCTAACATCAGAACAGCCTTCAATAACCTGTGTAAGGAATCATTTAGAATCTTGTACTCCACATATGTAAGACCAATCCTGGAGTATGCGGCCCCAGCATGGAGCCCGTACCTAGTCAAGCATAACACGAAGCTGGAAAAAGTTTAGAGGTATGCTACTAGACTAGTCCCAGAACTAAGAGGCATTAGTTACGAGGAAAGGCTGCGGGAAATGCACCTTGCGACACTGGAAGACAAGAGTAAGGGGAGACATGATCACTACCTACAAAATCCTCAGGGGAATTGACAGGGTAGAAAAAGATAAACTATTCAACACTGGTGGGACGCGAACAAGGGGACACAGGTGGAAACTGAGTACCCACATGAGCTACAGGGACGTTAGAAAGAACTTTTTCAGTGTCAGAGTAGCTAACAGGTGGAATGCATTAGGCAGTGATGTGGTGAAGGCTGACTCCATACACAGTTTCAAATGTAGATATGATAGAGCCCAGTAGGCTCAGGAACCTGTACACCAGTTGATTGACAGTTGAGAGGCGGGACCAAAGAGCCAGAGCTCAACCCCTGCAAGCGCAAATAGGTGAGTACACACGCACACATGTATACACATATGCGCGCGCGCACGCACACACACACACACACACACACACACACACACCCGTGGGTGGTGGTGTGTGGTTGCATGTGTACGCAGCGAGACAGCACCCAACACACACACACACACACACACACACACACACACACACACACACACACACACACACACACACACAAGCACACCACAGACGGCAGGAGGCCAAGTGGGAGAGGCTGTGGTCATAATTGGCCAGTCAGCCAGTTTGTAGTGGATGAGTGCGTCTGAGCAATTTATATAACACATGGTACCTAGTGTAATTGTTGCAGTTCTGGCTTGTACAACATCATTACCACTTGTGGGTACTCACTTAATTGTATAAACCTCAGTGTGCCTTCCAGGGTTCAACTTCAGCCCTTTGGTCCGCTTCATAACGTTCAGTCAACTCACGTACAGGTTCCTGAACCTTTTGAAGTCTCATTGGGTCTAGGTTTGAAGCTGTGTTATAGACCCCCCCCCCCACAGCTTCACCTCTCAGTGTAATCAATTTGTGTACCACTATTATGCCCCACTTGTTTATGCAACACCTATTTAAACAGTCTCTGTCTCCCCTACCAGTTTACCTTGATCATTTGTTTTACAATGATCATGTCTTCTCTAAATCTCCTTTGTTCATGTAACCCGA